AAGAGAGTTACTGTCAGATCCACAGAGCCCAGAAACCCCAGGAAGCAGTAGCGTGGGGCTCGCCTCTGGGTCTCTCTCTCTCTCTCCTCTATGGCACTTCTGATCCTCCCTGCCACACACACAGTTCTTGTCCCCCTGCCAACATATTCATATTTTCTGCTCCATTGTCATCTCCCTTTAAACGTGGCTGTGGCCATGACTGTGTCCTGACTCCACACAGCAGATCACTAGTAAATCCTCCACATACTTAGTAGTTTATTTTCCTGAGAAAGAACATCCAGTTGCTCTCACTCATCTTTTTACCACCAGGTCACACCAAAATCCACCATGGCCTGGTGACATTTGTGTCAGGCTCCATCTCCAGGCCACCGATAAGGTGGGCTGAGGACAGGGTACACCAGACATTGAGGCAGCAGCAGTGATGGCTGCACAGCCTCCTTTAGAAGGGGGCACGGGGAGGTAAGGATTTGGAGGTCAAAGATCATTATATATTGAATAGTCAATAAGTGTCTAACAAAAACATTATCCAGAATGCATGTTGGATTGCCCCATAAATGATGGCACTTAATCTCTTATACCCTTCCTCCCTGCATCCATAATTAGACTGTGGATCTTTAGCCTCTGACCTAAATCCTCTGGACATGGGGAAGGAAATAACAGTCAGTCCCAGGGCCACAAATAATCCTAGGGCCACCCCAGAGACAGGTCATACCTCTACACACAGGGAAGACTGAGATCAGGAAGATTATAAATGAGAGTACTGGGCCACTTGTGTGACCTTGAGAAAAATCACTTAACCTTCCAGACCTTAATTTCTCACTTGTAAAATGCAAGTAACATCATCCCTAGGTCCTTTACAGAATTATAATGAGAAACCAAGGAGGAAACAGACTAAAAATTGTTTTTAAAAGCCTAAGCACATTTAAGCTAAAGAAATTAACAATAACTAAGTGAGAGTATATTTTGTGTATTCAGGCACACACGAAAGAAAGCACTAGGAGGAAGTATACCAAAAGGACCCATTATCTCTGGCAGAGAATGCCGGTTATCTCTGCATGGTAAGATATGGGCGATTTCATTTCTTCATATTTGTCTGCTATATTCTTCAAATTTTCTATAGTAAATATATTAGTGTAATAAGTAGAAAAATACTCTTTTAAAAAAATGTGTGGGTCAGTGAGATCCCCCTGTCTTCCTTGGCTATTTTGGTTGCCTTCTGGACATTTTATTGGTTTGGTTTCCAAATATTTCACTTCAAGCCTGGGCAAAGGAAATAAAAGAAGGTCAGCTTCAAACCAGTCAAGTTCTGCTGCCCGTTAGCAGTCTTTTGAAAGGATTCAATAGAAAAAGAAGGCTGACACCTCGCAGCTGAAATGAAGCTTAGAAAGCACGTTTGCATTTCAACTATTCGGGTTGCCCTACTCTCTGCTACTAAGATTTAACTCTGCCACGCTGTTTCATCTTGTTTGGGGAACCTCTTTGATGTTGCAGTGAAATCATTCCCAGATCCTTAAGAGGTAAGGTGGAGAAGTTGGTGCATATATGATTCATAAAGGGGTGCTGCATACCAGGACCGAAGGTACTGGCATTAGGTCATCTCACCGTAATGGTAACAAAACACACCCTTTCATCACTGAACTAAATATTTCTTAGGTCCCTACCATGTGCTAGACTCTGTGCTAAACAGAACATAATGGTGACAAAGACAGACCTTCCCATTCCCCAGCACCTAACACAGTGCCTGGACATACAAGGGGCTCCTATCAACAGTCATTGAATGAACATATGAGCATCTACCTCCACTGTGACTGTCCCCCCACCTACAAACATGGGCAGGGCTGTCCCTGAGGGATTCAGAACCCAGGATCATGCTAAAGAAAAGGGATGGGTAACCACATAAGCCAGCTGTACATCCCTTTAACCAACTCTGTAACTTCAAAAGTGGGAATGGGGCATTATTTATCCCTTTGGAATCAAATTAAATCAAAGATAACGGAGAGAAAGAAATGTCCCAAAAGCAAACTGAGCACCTGTGAATATTAGATGAGACTAAGGAATCACTTTTTTTGCAGTGATAATGTTATTGTGCTTATGTTTCATTAAGTTCCTGTTGTACACTGAAGCACTTAGAGATGAACTAACATAATCTGTCATTTGTTTTAAAATAATCTGAGGGCAATGGAAAATTGGGGATCTAGGACATAGGGTGACTGGTTCAGCAAATCTGGCCACCTGTTAATACTTGCAGAAGCCAGGTGACATGGTGACCTGGATGTCTTGCCAATGGGTTTCAACCCCAGGCATGTTCACTACAGATTCAATGTGACCAAAGAAATTGACAGCAAAACGTTCTTGGGGTGAAAGGGTTATACCCAACTTTATTTGAAGGTGGTAGGTCAGTCACTAAAATCCCTTTCACTCAGAGTGAGTCTCTATGCAGCAAGCAGGTCTCTGCCTCTGGGCCCCTCTGTCCACACAGCTGTCCTCTGGGCCTCTCTGCACAGTCGTCCTGCACAGCCATACTCTGGGCCCCTCTGCACAGTCGTCCTGCATAGCCATCCTCTGGGCCTCTCTGCATAGTCATCCCGCACAGCCATCCTCTGGGCCTCTGTCCTCGGCACTGCCACCACTCCAGCCTCTACTCTGCTCTCCTGCAGCCTTGCAGCCCTGCCACCGTGTGGCACCCAGAGCACTGGGTGGAGCTCTTTTTATAGAGTCAACAGCCATGTATTGCCCACAGGTGTGCAGTGAGCTAGTCAACCAAGGCCAGGTGAGAATCCTAGCCACAGGACCTCTCATTTTATCCACACAGGAGTTCCCAGACTTATCTGTACATGGCAATTAGCCAAGGAGCTTCAAAAATACCAATACCTAATTTTCAGCCCCCTCGAGATTGTGAATTAAATGGTCTGGGAGGCTAGCTCGGCACTGACATTTTTAAAAGATCCCAAGTGATTCAAATATGCTGAAATAAATGGGTTATACACCTCTTTACTTCTGAGTATATCTGAAAATTTGCAGAATGAAAGTGGATTTTTTTAAGTGCAAAGGGGACAGATGTCATTTTACATATGAGGGCAAGGGCCAGCCCTGACCCACTCCACCCCCACACATCTGGGGATGGAGGACTTTCCAGTCCCCACTTAGTCCCTTAGTCCCAGGCCACCCCTACTGAAGCTGTCTCCCCATCTCTTGGTTCCTGAAGCAGGATGGGAGCCTGCATAAGGTACTGGAGATGGTGCCACCATATCAACCTTGTATTACTACAAATGGCCCCACCCTCAAGCCCCTAGAAGGAAGGTCCCTGAATGTGGCCATTCCCTTGAGTTCTCTAGTGTGGAGCTAACACTGCAGCCCCCCACCTCTTCTACTCTGCCACCCCCACACCGTTCTCCCTAGGCTGCCTCTTTGTGACAGAAATTATCTACTTTTGCCTCCTGCCAGGAAGAGGAGGCCAGAGCTTGCTAAGAGTCCCATGATTGAGATTAATCACCCTCAAATGGACGGTTGTTTTTTACCTACTTATTTCCAACAGGACCTGCAAAGCCCTCTCACCTGGCTTCCCACAGATCCCTATGGACAGGCACATCTTGTGGGATAATGCTTCATTTTAACCAGAATGTCTCAATGGTAGGTTTCATGTTCTCAGCTGTGCTCACAGTGGGGATGTAATTTTCCTTCATGAAAATGCTATTATTATAGAACTCCAGGCTCACTATCCTCCCAACAATAGTTCTCTATTATTTGTGGGGAAATGGTAGTTTGGAGAGGGATTTGCATGTGGTTCTCTAGAATGAGCCAAGCAAGGCTGACAGTCAAAAGCCTGCATACAAACTGTAACTTCAGCCTCTGGGCTGCTGCAGCTAGAACTTCACTCTGAATGTGACAAGACCTCCCAAAATGAAACAAAAAGTGCAGCAGACTGAATGCTGACTTTACACCTGTGCCTCCTCTGAAGAGTGTCCTCATTCCCTCATTCTTGTAGTTAAGCCCTTCAAAGATGTTTGTCACTGTTGGACAAACAGTCTGTGAAGTGACTTCAGCTCTCAAAAAGGAAAGGAAACAGCAGGTATTAAGTACCTACTGTGTGTTCTAGACACTTTACAGTAGCAGTTTGTCTTGCCAGTGGGTTTCAGCCCCAGGCAAGTTCACTCTTGATTCGGTGATACTGAAAGATGACAATGGAACGCTCTTGGAGTGAAAGGTTTTTCCACCCCCCTCAGAGAGAGCCTGCCTGCAGCAGGCTGATCTCTGCCTCTGGGCTGCTCTGCCCCCTAGCCATCCTCGCTGCTGCCACCACTTCAGCCCTTGCTCTCCTGCCGCTGTGCAGCCCCGAGCACTGGATGGAGCTGTTCATATAGAGTCACTATTGCCCACATGTGTGTAGTGAGCAAGCCGACCAGGGCCAGGTGAGAATCCTGGCCCTGGGAACCCTCAGTTTATCCAGAGAGAGTGTGAGGGGACTTGTCCCAAACCCCCAATTCCCACTCATGCTGCAGGGCACCGCCTCCTCCCCTGTGTGTTTTCTCCTCACCTGCAAACATCTGGCAATTGTTGAAAACCATAGTCCTGACTTGAGATACAGTCAAAAGCCCCCCCGTTTTCATGTCAACGTGTCACCAAACCACCCTAACTTGTTTACTGTTGTGGACTGTGACCCCTTGCTAGGCCTGCAGTGGGTCAGCAAATCAATAATTTTAAGATGTCCATTAAATATCCCACAGCTAGTGCGTGTTAGCTGGAGTCACCCTCCCCCATCACTTAGGAGTTTTCAGACAACTCAGAACATCTCCTATTCTACCTCAGGCCTTTTAATTATCTGAAAGAAAATATCACTGAAACATTGCTCTCCCTCCAAAAAAAAAGAACAGCTTGTGAACATTTACTCCCCAACACACACGCACACACTCAGACGCCGACCTCCCCGGAGAGAGGCTCCTGAGCCCCAGAGCGGGTAGCAGTCGGGCCGTCCGCGGGCCTAGGGACAGGGAGTTGCTCACCTTTCCCAGAGAACAAACGCACGTCTGCTCCCGGGAACCTGACCCGCCGGCTTCGTTTCCAGCCTGCGCAGCACCGGGAACCCCACAGCCCACGGTGGGTGGGGTCCCTGGCAGGCCAGTAGCGAGCTCCCCGGGCGCTCCAGGCAGTCGGCGCGCGCGCCCTGGGCTGTGCGATCCAAGTGCCTGGCCTGCCACCTGGTGGACACTACAAGGAAAACACCCTAGGCTGGCTCCAGATGCCATGTGCCCACAGACAGAAGCGAGTGATGGAACACAGATGAGAAGCAGATTAATTTGGCAGAATTAAAGAGAACCCATGAGGAGGATTCGGGGATCATTTTTTCCTCCAAATAATTAAGGCTTTATATGAGGGATGGTGCAAGTTTTAAAGGCTCTAAATCCAAACCACAGATGCATCTTTAAAGATGATGTTACCCAGGGTTCTTAAAGTTTGGTGGGTGTCAGGCTGTCCAAGGGAGAGTTTAAAAATGCAAATGCCCTACCCACTACAGTCTATTTACACAGAATCTAGGTTAAGCAAAGTTTTTATTTTGTGGTAGGAAAACACAGAACATAAAATTTGCTATCTTAACCATTTTTAAGTGTACAGTTCAGTAGTGTTAGTTATATTCACTACTTTAGATACCACATAATAACTGGAATCATGTAGGATTTGTCCTTTTGTGACGGGCTTATTGCACTTAGAATAATGTCCTCAGGGTTCACCCATGCTGTAGCATGTGACAGGATTCCTTCCTTTTTCAGACTGATAGATTTCACCATGTGTATAATCCACACTTTGTTTACCCACTTGTCTGTCAATGGATATTTGGGTTGCTTTTGGCTGTTGTAAACATTAGTGTGCAAATATCTCTGCAAGACCTGTTTTCAATTATTCTGGCGATATACCGAGAAGTGGGATTGCTGGACTCTATGGTAGCTCTGTTTGGCACCTTTGGTTTTTACAGGCCCCCTGGGTGGTTCAAATACCCAACAAAGCCCCTGATGCGGTTCCATCACACAGGTCGGGGAGGGGGGCTGTGAGGATGCCATTGGTGAGGCTTTACTCCAGACTCCCCTATCTACTGAATTAACTTTGAGTTCTGCGTAGTTCCAATTATTCATCCTGCATATAGCCTGGAAGAAAGAGACAATAAGTAAGCAAATAAAGTATTTCAAACAGTGATGACTGCTATAGAGAAAACATACCAGGTTCAGTGACAGTCACTGTGAGTGAGGGCTCCTCTAACAAGGACACTAGCACTTCTGTGGCACTGACTGGTCTCGGGCACTGTCCTAAGGGCATCATTTATACTAACTTCCATAAACTGCACAACAACCACATGATATAAGGCTATCACAATCCCCATTCACAGCTGAGCAGATGAGGCACAGAACAGTTCAGTGCTTGCTGAATAGTATACAGCCAGCACATGATAGAGCCAAGAACGGAAGCCAGGCAGTGAGGCTTTGGAATCTCTGCTTAGAGCAGGTGGCCTCTGACTGAGGCTTGAACGGCAAGAGCGCCAAGCACAGTTCTGGAACGCAGCATTCCAGGCAGCAAATGCAAAGGAGCAAGAGCCAGCTTCCAGCACTGAAAGAAGACCCGAGCGGCTGAAGCAGCAGGTGGAGTCAGAGGAAAAAAGGAGAGCACCTGGGAAGGCAGGGTCAGATAATAACGGATCTCACTAGCTAGAGCGAGAGTTTGGCTTTTATTCTACTGACTCTGGAAAGCCGTTGGAGAGTTTTAAGCAGCAGGCAGGCTCCAGCTTTTGCTTTTCTTCTGACTCGGTGATGTGTATCATGCAGCAAGAAACCAAAGCTGGTGCAAAGTCTGGTGGGGACTGTAAGGGTCCAAGCTTCTGTGTTTCTCCATTCTTCAACGTGTTTCACCAGTATTCCATGCACAGGTAAACTCTCGAAGGCTAGCGTGTCACATCCGTCTCTCTGTTCACAAGCGTCTTCACGCTGAGGCCAGCTCTCCTCAGCAGCCATTACAAGCACACCTCAACGCTGTCGCGGGTTTGGTTCCAGACCACCACAGTGAAGTGAAAATCACAATAAAGCAAGTCAACAACGAACTTTTTGGTTTCCCAGTGCATATGAAAGTTATGTTTACACTATGCTATAGTCTATTAAGTATACGATACCATTTTACCTAAAAAATGTGCATACCCTAATCAAAAAATACCTTATTGCTAAAAAATGCTAACCATCACCTGAGCTTTCAGAGTCATAATCACTGGTCAAAGAGCATCATAACAAATAAAATAATAATGAAAAGTTTGAGATATTGTGAGAGTTACCAAAATGTGACACAGAGACACAAAGTGAGCAAATGCTGTTGGAAAAATGGTGCCCAATAATTTACTCGATGTAGGGTTGCCACAAACCTTCAATTTGTTAAAAAAAGAAGAAAAATGCAGCATCTACAAAATACAATAAAGAAAAGTGCAGTAAAACGAGGTATGCCTGTACTCCACTGATGACCTATATCCCCCTGAACTGCAGACTCTGTAATTTGCTTTCACCTCACTACACTATCATCACACCTCATGGCCCTGGAAACAGCCCTTGATACTTCTGGAGTTCTGATTTCCTAACACAAGGGGACACTTAAGGAGACCTGCAAAGACCTGTAATTGCTGTGGGTGAGTTATTGAGTGTGAGTTAGAAACTGCAACCTGGTTAAGAGAAGAATAGACAACCAATGAAGTAAATGCATTAGTATTTTCACCATGAAATAGCGCTTACATCTACATAAACCGGAGAAGGTTAAAAGAGCTCTTTCACATGAAGCATTTGCCCTCCACACAGGCACTAACATTATGTTAATCTTGTGTTCCCGAGGAGGGCAGACTGGTCAGGAACTGCCCACCCCTGAAGCCTTCATGGCGTAACCATCTCTGCCTTTCATCTTGATCAATTCACCTCACCACAGAAAGGTCTAAATCCTCAGCCACATACTTTTGAATTGGGGTAGGGCACTCAGTATAGAGCCCCTTCCCATCAGCACTCTGATTTCCTTGTAGGGAATTGCCTCTGCTAACCCACCCCCAACATCATGTGGTCCTTATGGGACAATAAACCCAGGTGCCTGCACCCCTCCCCACTTTAGTAGGAGTTGGAGAGGTCCCTGGAGTTCTATCTTTCCTCTCACCAACTTGGTACAGGGTGGTCGTGGGACCTTTGCTTGGTTTAGTCATGTGACTGTAGCTCAACCAATCTAATACTTGCTTCCCTAAGATGTTCAGTCTTGGCAGAGTGACACAGGTCTGGCAAGAAATTATTATGCACTGATGAGATCGATAAGCAGCACCTGCTACCAAGACCTTCCAGGGTAATCTGGTGGCCACATGCTCCAGGCCTAGTTCTCCAGCCCTCACTTCACTCCTGTGAGCAACCCCATAACCTTCTAAAGCATAATTAGTTCCTTTATGCTAAAATTAGCCAATGTTCCTGTCACCTGCAACTATAAATCTCAACCAGATACAATGAACATACAGAGATTACAATTAGGTATCAATAAGCACCTCATATCTACAAGGAGGTCTATGCATCTGCTATCCAGAAATACAATGGCAAAAAGTGGGGGTGAGTATATTTCTCTCACACTGAAGAAGTCCAGAGGCAGATCCTCTAGGGCTGGTATGGTGGCCACATGGTGTCCACAGTGGACCGGGTTCCTCCTATGTTCCTGCTTCACCATTTTTAACTCATACTTCCATCTATGGAGGCTCCTTGTCATCACAGATTGTCACTGTGGCTCTAGTCACCCCAGTCATATTCTAGGTAGGAAGGAGGGCCTGGGAAAAAGTAAGGGTTTCCTAACAGCAAGTGAGTCTCCTTGAAAAAAATCTGATGGGAGTTACTTCTCTGCATGTCTCACTGACAACCCCGACCTCAAGGAAAGCTAGCAAGTGGAGTTTTCCTTAATTTGGACAAACTGCACACTCAAATATATAGGAACCCTACCCTACAAAAGGAGGAGAGAAGATACTGAGTAGGCAGCTGGCAGTCTCTTTCACACACTGCTTCCTGAGAATTGCTGAAGCTTCAGAAAGGTATTCTGAGGACCCTCACCCATTTTTTCCTCAACCTTTCTTGGTCAAGCCTATCTGAAAAGATCCTCTAGTCTAACTCTGGCTATGAGAACTACTGAGAACTACCCATGTCCATAGGCCTGATTTGGAACCGTGGTTCCACCACATCTTGACTGAATAACTTTGAAGACACCTGAGTCTTCAGAAACTTAGCTGCCGAAAACATAAAACCTGCCTCAGTCAAGGAGGACTGCTGAGGTAACAACCCATAGTCCCATCTAGTTTCACACGTGATATGAAACTAACATTTGCAATCCTTGGAGTGCCTAACTGCTCTGCAAAGAGCAGCGAAGTAAGTATAAGAGATGCACTGGTCATAAAGTGAATAGGACTTTTAAAATTCCTCTTAGCTTTTGCCCCCAGGAAGAGTTTGAATTGTGCCTTGAGCTCAGGCAGAAATCTCTCTGCCTAGATATGCTTAGAGTCTAGAAAGGGAAAGCTCCTAGGCTTCAAAGCCAGGAGTGAACTCACCTGAGGCAGCTAGAGAGGAAGGAGGAAAATTGCAGCTTTAGGGAAAAATATGTCTTTGTCCCTCTCAGAAGACGATTCTCCATGCAACTCTTGAGTTTCTGCACATATTGCAAGCAGAGGCACAACTACTTTTGTTCCAGACTATCTTTTCCAGGATATCTGCATAGAGAACAGTCTCGGAAGATACAGATTTCTCTCTCCACAGCAAAGGACAAGTTTGCCTACTGCTCATAGAAGAAAGATAATGTCTCCCTCCAGAGCTCAGGGCAAGTATTGCACTGGCCTTTACAAAATATTCTGGTTCCCTAAGCTCAGCGTGCCTCTCCTGTAACACTATTTCCCACAGGTGCAGCTGTTACTGGATCTCTTCATGTCACCCTGCGGGAATGGGGTTCAGGGAACTGGTACAAATGCAGATACTCTGGCTACTGCTATTGTAGGAAGTAATAAAGTTCTTTGTATGTGAACCCAGGAGTCCACGAGCATCCACGCAACCAGCAGGCTAACTGGTTGGCTTGCAAGTTGCCAGTAGGATAAACCTGGACCCTTCACAGTTTT